GTCCCAACGATATCACCGCACCATTGCGATTAATCGCACGAATGGTAACAAAACAATGACTGTCGTTTTCGCTAAATCGCTTTGAGACAGCTCATGCGTATCGGGAAGTGAGCTTTGAAAACTCTCTTTCCCCCTCATCGCGAATTATTTTCTGAACATTCTCAATAAATATTTCCACTGAGGACTTTACAATCGATTATTTAATCCTTATATTTGTGTCAATTAACAAAAAATTTAAATCATCCTTTTTGTTACAAATTTAACTGCCGATTGTGAGTCTGTCCTTCGTGTTTGCCCCCTTTGCATTTGACTCTAATATCTTTCGCTCTTTAAACGAAATTATGGAATATATTTATAGACGAATAAAAGAGAAGAGATTAAAGAAAAAGGAACAACTAAAAATGCATTTATTACTAAGGTACAATTTATTATCTAGAATCCCAACCACCATGCATAAAGAAATTCAATAACCGCGCGGCTTATCTCGACACCGTGTTCCTCCATTTTTACGGAAGGGGAATTACCCTCGAACCACGTTCACGTCGAGATCTTATCGCGACACCGAGCGGTGCCTCATTTCCGTCAACCCTAAAGTCTCTTTCAACCTCGTCTGAGGCCGAAGGCGTCGTCTGCATCCTCCAACGTCGCATCGTGATCTCACTCGTAACTCTTGCAACGCTTGTCACTGACACCTAATCCTCGGTATAAATATTTTGCAAGGCAAATTACAGAAGATATTTTGCAAGGAGACGTTACAAGCATCGACGATCACCTTCTTCTAAGAAATTCCGTTAAAAATTCTCAAGTCTGTAGATTAGTGTCAGAAAAATGGGGTGGATAAAACGTGGAAGGTAATAATTTCGCTCTAAGTATCAACGCGCGAAACTTGAACCGAATTTAAACTGATTGGATTAATCTTCTTTCAACGCGCGTGGTTCTGTGAGTTCCGATTCGAACTTAGTTTACATTTTAAGTAGATAAATTCCCTAGGAGACGCTAGTTAGACAAACGTTTCAAGCATCTAACGGTGGAATCTCTTCGAGTGAAACTTGAAATCCAATAACGTCGCCTGCGCAATACTTTCACCCTTTCTCGATCGCAGGAAACTCCATTAGGCGTTTGATCATCAGCGATGACCTTTTCTGACAGAAACACGATATATCCACCTAGTCCACTATAATTGTATAATGTTGGCGAGTTTCTTCAAGTCACCTATCTCATTCCGTAATCCTCTAAGGCGCTTAATTGCGTAATGGATAGAGCAGTGACTATACGAGAACACGGAAAGAGAGACAGAGAGAGAGAGAGAGAGAGAGAGAGAAAAAGATGCAGAGGAAAAAAATAATAAATAAATTACTGCACAAAAGCATTGATTTTCATAAGAAATTTATCATTTTTTAATTATTAAATGGTAAACTTTTTGTTCTTTGATTAAATTATGTATTTGAAGCGCAGAATCAAGAAAAAAATCTAATCTTGTAATCTATCGTTTAATATCATCATATAATTAATCCAAAGTCTTATAACAGGTCAAATGACTTGAAATAATTTAGACGTATCGATTGAAGTATGCAATTAATATTCAGTTTGAGAAGAGATTTCGAATAAAATAAGAATTATTTCATAACTTCCTTCCTTTTTTTCAATGTTCGGTCTATTCTTTTAAATCGATGTGAAATAAAGACCAATTTGGGACGTCACAATTCGATACAGAACAAATCTAACAATTCGGTTTTCATGACCAATCTCGCCTGCATCGACGTCACTTGGGTTGCTTCTTTGCTTTTATGAAGCACTTACATTTACGAACATTACTTTGAATTGCCTGCCAGTAATAAAATAAATTATTCATGCTGGCGCTTACGTGGCCCTATTCCACCGATTATGTAAACATTTGCAAAGGGAGCTTTGTCGATGCAAACGATGTTCTTATGGGGGTCTTCATTAGTGCATCGCCATGCCCTTAGCTTTGGCCAATTAACAAAATAAAATCGCGCACTCTAGTCAATCTTACCTTAGTAATTATTTCTCCTCCGTTCTGCTGAAGTATGCAACACAGACGGTTGCTTGCTTCGATCTATCGGCTTTTTCTTTCTGTGCGAATCAGCGCATTCAAAGAACTCGAGATTATGCCATAATTGGCCCAGATTGTTAACAATAGCAACTCTTTCTGGCTTACTGAATACTATTTCATTTGCCACTTGTACACATCTGTTACAAAACGCGCCATGAATTGATTTATATCTATATTAATATTTGCACAGGGGATGTTCTCGATTAACCATGTAATATTGATCGCTCATATCGAAACAGATTGCTGCTTTTTTATGATATATGTTTCTGTGCGGAATTTGAGGGGAACATATACAGAAATAAGCGCGTATTTATTCGAAATTTGTCAATAAAACGAATATTTCACGAACGCCCTCTTAATATAGATATACGTTCCTCTCAACGATGTAGATTCAAAATTAAAAATTTTACTTTAGAAGCACACTTTTCATAAAAAAAAAAAACCAACAATCCGTCTGAATTAAAAATAATTAGTCAATATTTGTTTTAATTTATTAAGGAAATTAATAACGAAAAATTTAATATCTGTTTCGTTGGCACTAATTTGAACAATAAACAAGTCTATTTACATTTCCCGTCTTACATATTATTTAGCAAATTAATTAAAACGCTCAAATATACACACGCGCGCATACAATTTAACGTTTATATTTATATTTCATTTAAATTTCAAATAGATTTTTTTTTAGAATTTTAATTAGTTGTTTAGTTATTATTAAATGCAATTATTAAATACAGCTTAGTTATAAACGGCAGAAGTTTGTTACAACAAATAAAAATGTTTCTCGATAGTTTTTTATTTCGTGTAAAGTGCTGTAACATTTTCTCATGTTTTTATAACAACCTTCACAAATTCACATGAATTTTATTTGACTCGCGTTGGAGAAACAGAAAGAGTACATACTCAGCGAAAATAGGTAATCATGTAAAAGGGATTCTAATGAGCTCGTTCTTTCATATAACGAACGTTGAAGTAATATTAGTGGTTACCGTCGTTTCTTAGAAAGATTCTATTCGCGATCGTAAATTAAATTTCCAATAATTGCTTCTCACGCCGCCTAAAATGATAATTAAATTTCCTGTATCAGTATCCGTGGCATACCATTGTAATCGTAATGGCCGTTCGAGAGTTTTTCAGAGCAAGATAAACAGCGTTTGTATCTAATTTCCCATGAAAAAGAAGATTTTTCTTTTTAGATAAACGATGCAAATTCAGTTACCAAAACTAGATTAGCGATGGAAACGCGTGCCGCGTCTTCTTTGATCTCTTGACCTCGCGTGTTTATGTTGAGAAATTGCCACGCTTGCTTTTTTAAGTATGATAAATTTTGAATACGAAACAAGCTAAATCAGGAAAATCAAGTTTTGGTTTTAAGTAAAATCGCTTTGTGTGGAGAGTATACAGGCAAAAACGATTTCGTTTACAACAAAAACACTTTACTTGCAGCAGGGGTGCAAACGATTCGTTCGAAATAAAAACAAAAAGTTTATTTTTACCTAAAATGAAATTTTTTTTTTCATCGTTACTGCCCGCGTTTCAAACAAAACAATTTGAAATCTTTTTTGTTTTGAACTTTCTCTTTAAATGCTCGAGGCCAACGTAAGGAAGAATTTTCTTTCTGATGTATTTTGAAACATTCTTGCGTTTATCTTTATGGAAAAGCACTTCACACGGTTTGTCGATAGAAGAAAAGAATCCGTTGCCGAGATTATTTCACGTTGTTTCCGTTAATGTGTCGTTCTTTGAGTTATTCTCCCTTTCATTATTAAGTTTGATTCGATAACATTCACTTTTACGCCTTCGGCGAACGATCTATTTAACCGACCGTCCTTCAAGTCCGGAGGAAAGTTGAATTACTAGAGAGAACGAGTTGGAAAACGTGGTAATCGAGTTTTCGTTGAACGTCAGCTAGATCCATTCGCGGGTAATGTGGCGTGGGCATACGAAACAATTAGCAGCGTACAATGCGTTTGACCGAATTGTTTGGAACACGCGAGATAATCCAGTAATAGAAGTAACGTGAAACGTCGGACGCAAGTACGATAATTAGATTTGAGTAGAACAAAGTGGAATATTAAAATATGAATTATAAAAATATTATTATGCTTTTAATAATAAAATAGTATATACAATTGCTTCTATTATCTCTCTAACCTTTTAACTACCTGCAAATTACTATGCGGTGAGTCACTGTTAATTATAAACTTTGCGAGAACCTGTGGAAGAAATCTTTTCAAACGTTTGTATATAAGCAAAACTTGAAAAAAGATTTAAATAATTTCTTGTTCCCAATGCGCTGATAATCTTTTCCTATTTTACTATTTTAAAAATAGTATTAATCTCAAGAATATTACATCCCGGGAAAAAATGTTATATAAATGAACATATTTTATACATAATTATATTTAATTGTATATAAAATATGTTAATTTTTTAATATAATTATATATAATTATAAATGAAACATTTTTCCCGGAATTTTATGTCTCCATTTAAAAAAGTGATCTTACAAATAAGGCAGTTGATTGACTGATTATTAATTACGCTTAATTACACTTAAATCCTACCGATACTTTAATATCACCATTTCTGCAATCCCACAGAACAAGTTCAGAGAGTGACATTTTCCTTGGACAAGACAAAACATTTTTGTTTCTTAATCTCGTAACTTTTTCCGCCTCGTAAACACGTGCGTTCCCTTCGGGTTTCTCGCGGATTACACTGGGAACGAAATAATCCGTAAGAGAAAAAACGCGTGATATTTCTAGATACTGCCGAACGTTCTCATTCTCGCAAATCGAGCCGTAATCCGTCCCACGCGCCGTTTGAACGTCCCGCCGTGGATTAGTCGGCGCAGTCGGGATGCGCAGAAGACTGGCAGGAGCATGCGCGGCGCGGTGGCGCCACCGTCGCGGCACGGCGACGTAGACGCGACGCGACGCACGGTAGCGCTGCGCATCGTCGGAAGCGAGCGGTGGGTAGGCCGGAGGCAAAAGAACGAGGACCGCGTTCCGTCGAGGTGGTGCCAGTTTCGCAGTGCCGCGTAGTGTAGTGTTTTTTCTCTTCCTCTCTCCGCCGCGCCCTTCTCCCCCGCGCTTCCGAGTGCAGTGTGCATCGATGAGGAGGCCGCCTGTACCTCCCCCCCCGATGACTGAATAGTGTGCATTTTAGGTAAATCGTTAGGAATAATTCTACCCTCCCCCCGCGCGTTACACGACCGCGCCCCGCGTCCCCGTTCGAAAGGCAATGCGACCGAGCGCGGCCACGACTACTACCGACGACGACGTCGACGTCGACGACGATGACGATGACGACAATGACGATTACGACGACGATGGCGACGAGGAGGAAGAGGAGGACGCTCTCGACGACGGAGAGCTGTTCCGTGCGCCATCATACCGGACATGCCGGCATGTCCTCGACTCTGATATTAGCCACGAACTGCACATACGCATTCTTGTGAGCCGAATCTCGAGGACCGCGATGGAAAACGGAAGTTCGTGGAGAAAGGAGACACGCGGTTGTATTACAAAGAGGAATTCCGTCCGTTGTTCTTAGGGAAAAAAAAAAAATTTAATTGTTACGTTCGCTCTCTCTCTCACTCTCTTCTCGCATGGCGTCGGATTAAAGGCGACGACGAGTCTTGCCGGCACGCGCCATGCGAGCTGTTGATAACGACGAGACAATGATAATCTCTCTCGTTCTGTTCGATGCGCCGGATCGCGCGAGTGAGTACTGAGTATCGACGCGGCGTGCGTAGCTCCGTCTCGTGCTCTCGCATGCTCTCGCACGTCCGAAGTCCGAACGCAGTCGAACGAGCGCGACGGCTCGTGTCTCTCGGAGCGCTTGCCGACTACCGTCGGCCGTGCCGAGCAGTCGATACGAGGCGGCGGGAACGACGGGCGCCGCCAGATCGAACGATCGGCTCGCGTCGAAGCCTTAGTTGCACTTGGCTGCACCGACAATCCGGATTAATCGCCGCGCCGGCGACACCCGCCTTCTCTCGGTCTCGGCTCGTTCCTCGCGTCGCAATCGTATTGTATTGTATCGTATCGTATCGTATCGTTCGGCCGGAAGGGGGTGGGAGAGATGTGGTTGTTGCCCAACCGACGTCGTTGCTAAACCAGCACCTGCCGCCAAACTGTATCGCGATTTTCGGCTAACCCAACCTCGCGGTTAGTGATTATCGTTTTCACGAGCTATATCGCTGTTCGCAATATATACGAACGGCGAACGAGTCCGAGATTACTCCGGATTAAACGACGCCAATGTAACCGGTGTTCCCGAGCTGGGTGTATCGACGGTTTGATTTAAATCTGGGAGATTGCGAATGTGTAAACTCTCCGACATCTCAATTTCCGTGTTGTTCGTTTTTTTTCTCGTCGTGTCTGAACTTATTCTCGAAAAATATCGTGTACGAAAATATTAGGAAAATCTATAATATACGTAACGTATACTGTACTTAGTATTTTCATATATTTTTGTATGCGATTTTTTGAGAATACGTCCCTGATCTGAAACAGAAATCTGGTTTTTATGCCCATTTTTACCAATGTCGATTAATCATGGTTTAACTCCCTCTTCGTCTTTTTCTAATCTTTAGAAAAAGATGGAGTTAATTGAACCAAGATAATAAAATTAAACTATATTGATAGAAACGAGTATTAGCTGAACTTCTTGCATGGTTAATTTTCTCTTTTTCTCTTCAACGTAAAAAGAAAAAAAGAAAAGAGATGAACTATGCAAGAAGTTCAGTTAAAAAGAGCAGACAGAGATACCGTGATCATATTTTCTTAGAAAAAGTAGAGGACAAACCTGAAAATTTTAGGGCTTTATACCTAAATATTTCCAAACTAGTATGTGACTGTCAGACGTCTGGGCATTTATTTTTGAAATTTTCTTGCATAGTATACTTGAATTAATTCCCATAGTAAAGCACAAGTCATCATTGTAACATCAAAAGACGTCAAAAGTTATAGATTTTATTATTGAAAGTCACTTTTGATCAGGACTCATTTCGACATTATTTTGATGTTGTGACTTTATTGTTCTATTAGAGTTAAAAATTTGTTTTCGTAGATATTCGTCCATTAATACATTAGACATTGGAATGCTAGTTGGAAAGGAATTTCCCGTAATATCATTAAAATAAGAGACACAAAAGTAAAGAATAAGAATCTTACTGGACTATACATTTGAGAGTTCAATAACAAGCTTATTGTTGAATACACAAAGGTAAGTTTTAAAAAGGTAGATAAATCTAATGGACAGCTACCTGAAGGACAGTCCTTTACGATAAAGAACGTATGGTCACATATCTAGGATAAAAGTTTGAGTTACATTATATCTTTTCTTTTCAAGTTAAAAGCAGAGAGAGAGAGAGAGAGAGAGGGGGGGGGAGAGGGAGGGAGGGAGAATTCGAACGGGATTAGTCGATGCCGACGGCCGTCGCCACCGATCGAGCATCATTCTAGAGGGAGAAGGAAAAGACGAGATAAAACGGACTGTTCCAACCTTAACTTACTGCCACGACTGTACCGCTTCTGGTCGACGACTCTCAGCATGCATCTGCGTGCCTTTTTCCACGCGCTCGATACACGCTCCCCGGCGTGCGAACAATGCCGAGTGTTTTCTTATCCGCATCGCACGTCCGATCCGGAGCAAAAAAATCGCTCGCTTTTGACGCCGCACCGGATAACGTCGGATCCGCGATTCTCCGATCCATCGTGAGAGCGCGATGCCGGAAAAGGACCAATGACTTGAACGACGGTAACGAGACGGGACTTTGAACGACGATAAGCTATTAAAGATGTTTATCAGGATATTCACTGCGATTCGAAAGGAAATGGTTGTCGATATTAACGACAGCTGCAATTCTCATTTTCATGAATTTAATACTCTCCGAGTGACGTAAATATATCTTTTAATACACACGATGATTTTCCGGTCTACATCAAGCCTGTCCAATTACTCCGGAGCTAAAACGCAAAGCCATCGACGCAAAAACATTCAATGTGGGTAAAATTTCGGGGACTGTGTAGTGTTGATAAACGTCACTCAGATGCGTATTAACACTTTACAGTCTTTGAAATCTTACCCGTATTGAATTTTTTTTCATCGATGGCTTTGCGTTTTGGATCCGGAGCTTATTAAGCTTAATTAAATTAGACGGGCTTGCTTTACATGGTGTCCAGCGATCCTTGAATATCCTTGAATACTGGAATTTTATATATTCTGGAAAATTTCTGGAAAATTCCTGAAATTTTAGGGCTGGCCTGGAATTTATCATTCTTTCTTTCTAAAAAAAAATTAGAGCGTAAAAAAAGGAAAAAAATAATAAAAAGAAAAGTTGTGTATATGTTCTCTTTTAAAGATGCAATAAATTACCATAAATTTAATGTCAAAGATAGAACACAGAAAAATTGTGTTGACGAAACATTCGTTTGATATTGTTTATGAAGCAATGAATAATATTTTAAAATTTGTTAGCATTTTAATTCATTCCTATAGAATACAAAAGCAATGTTACACGAATCGATGAAAATTAATATATTGATGGATAAATCCTGGAAGAGCCATTTTTTACCTAAAATGTTTTGGAATATTCTTGAATTGACTAGTCAGATTTTGCTGGACACTTTACTATGATGGATCGTTCGTGTTCGAGTAAATTTTCATCATTTTAACAAATAGAGTAAGTTGGTACAATTTTGAACATGGTACAACTATAAACGAAATAAAAGATCTATTTTTTATTCCTGTACTACATCTCTCGCTTTCGCCAAATATCCTCATTTAAGTTCGAAAAATTTTCACTAGTTCAACTAGAAAAAAACAGATTTAAAATTTAAATCTAATATTCGAAGTTAAATTTGATTTTTTTCTGTCTGGTATCCTTAAAGGATTATCAAATTTGAACTTCAAAAATTTGATTCAAATTTTATTTTGCTCAGAATTATACATGCTTTAAATTATATCACCTTATCCTATATATAAAAATTATTAAATGAGAGATTCTTACATGTACTTCAATATCTCTAGAAAGTATTTATAAGTTGTGTATTTTTTTAAAAATTGTACGTAAATGTTATAACTAATTACTTGAAGCGTCTAGTTTTTCGAAGAATAATCCAATCGTGTGTGCTAAAAGAGGTGATATTCAGAGTTCTTAACTTTTCAGGCATAAAGGTCTTTGTGAATTTGTCTACATTTCGGTGTATATTTGACGCGTACTTTCTGTCTAATAAATACTCTAAGGGTGCGTTCGGGGAGCTCACTACCAGCGCTATCGAATCGTTCTGTCTTTGTTTTTCGTCTAATAAACAACAAGGATAGAGTGATGCGATAGCGCTGGTAGTGGGCACCCCGAACGCACCCTAAATATTCATGCATCACGATTGTCAATTATTCGAGAAATAGGAAGCCATACAAAGCAGCCGGAAGCAATATTTCGGGTGTTTCAAAATTCACTGCCAGTGCTGAAAATTTAGCGCACGTAACGTAAACGATAGCTTTCGTAGTTTGTCGTATTAATATTTGATAGCAATGATATAATTACTGGTACAATACTAATATTTCCCGATTAATTAACGAATAATTATGATGCGCGAGTGTTTAGATAGAAAGTACGCGTCCCGAATATGCCCCGATATGCGTGCAACATGTGCAAGGCATTTATATTCCCGCACGTACGTTAATGGACTACACGTATTCGAAGGATCGAAATATATAGGGTGTCCCATATTTCAAACACTAGTTTATGTCTAGAAAAATATTAAAGGGGAAGGTAACATTGTATATTTATGTATTCCGTATTTCGTTCCGTACTGAAATACTTTTACGTGGTTCAAAATTCCCATAAGATGCAGAAATATCTTCCAGTATTCGTATTCGATATTTTCTAAAATATACAAAATAAAATATTTTACATGAAAATTTTAAATTCTGTATTTCAAGCGAATCAGCTATGAGTGGTTATCGCTTCATTCTGATGGTTAGATGGACAAATTCGATTTTTGTCTCCTGACATTCGTCGTTTGAAATACATCTGCTGGATCGTACAACATAAAAAAAAAAAGGAAAGCTCTCTATATTGCCAGTGCTATTTATGCTTTTATTAAAACATGACGTACGTGGAAGTTTTCGAGGGGTTCGAATTTCGCGCTGCATCA